GGTGTGGTGGCACACACTTAATCCCAGCACTTGGGAGGCAGAAGCAGGCAAAGCTCAAGGCCAGCCTAGTCTACACAGTGAGTGCCAGGCCAGCCAGGGCTTCATAGTGACACACTCTTAAAAAAAAGATGTAGGTTTAAAGTCAAACAGTTAAAATGGCCTAGGTTCAGAGGGGCCTGAAGGATGAATAGTTCCAAAGAAGCCCAGGTACTGCCAGGTGTGGCAGTGCCCCCTAACACATGGAATGCTGAGGCAGGGAAATCAGAAGTTCAAGGTAAACCTCAACTACATAAGGTTTGAGGCCAACCTGGGCTACATGAGACCCTGTCTCTAAAGGCCAGATGAGCTGGGTATGGTGGTGCAGGCCTTTGGTCCCAGCACTATGGAGGCAGAGGCAGGCAGATCTCTGTGGGATTGGGGCCAGCCTGGACTAGAGGGGGAGACCCTGTCTAAACAAACAAACAAACAAACAAAAAACAGGTGAAAAAAGTCCGAGGATAAAGACATCTGGGCTTGATCTAAGACAAGAAGGGATACACACACACACACACACACACACACACACACACACACACACACACATATATACACACACAGAGTCTCCCTGGAGCCCCAGCTGGCCTGGAACTCACTATGTAGACCAAGTTGGCCTTAATCTCATAGAGATTCACCTGCCTCTACCTCCCAAGTGCTGGGATTAAAGACATGTGCCACCATGCCCAGCCAGAAAGGGCTTTAAAAAAATATCGAATTTATTTTTAATTTTAATTTTTATTTTATGAGTGTTATGCCTGCATGTGCGTAAGTGCACGCATGTTGTGCAGTGCCCTTGGAAGACAAAAGTAGGCATTGGATCCCCTGGAACTGGAGTCATGGACAGTTGTTAGCTGCCATGTGGGTGCTAGGATTCAAAATTGGGTCTTCTGCAAGAAAACCCAGTGTTCTTAACTGCTGAGCCCTAGCTCCAGCTCCAGAAGGGCTTTTAAACTAGATCATTTAATGAAGGTCTGAGTTTGAGGCTATGCCAGAGGAGCAGTGATAGTGGAATAATTAACAAGCCGCCTACTTTAAAATTTATTTAAAAATTTGTGAGTGCCTTTCCTGCATGTGTGAAAGTGCATCATATGCATACAATACCTGGGAGGCCAGAAGAGGATGTCAGATCCCCTGGAACTAGAGTTACAAACAGTTGTTAGCCACCATGCAAGGCTCCCCCTTTTTATTTTATTTATTTTTCTGTGTATGAGTGTATTGCCTGCATGTGTGTTAGTGCACCCATGTTGTGCAGTGCCTGTGGAGCATGTCAGATTCCCCCCAGAACTGGAGTTATGGATGGTTGTTAGCTGCCATGCAGGTGCTAGGAATCAAACCCAGGTTCTCTGCAAGAGCAGCCAGTACTTTTAACCGCTGAGCCACCTCTCCAGACCCATTCCCCCTTTTAAAAATATTTTATTATTTTTATTTTATGTGTATGAGTGTTTTGCCTGAAGTGCATCCATGGCGTGCAATGCCCACAGAGGTCAGAAGAGGGCATTGGATTCCCTGGAACTGGAGTTATAGATGGTTGCTAGCTACCATATGGGTTCTGAGAACTGAACCAGGGTCCTCTGCAAAAGCGGCCAATGCTCTTAAACACTGAGCCATCTCTCCAGCTCCTCAGCTCCCCTTTTTAAAATTAATTATTTTAATTGATTTTTTTGAAAATTTCTTAAATATATTTTGATCATATTTAAATCCTCTCCCATATCTGCACAGTCTCACACGAGCTCAGGCTGACTTGGAACTCACTATGTAGAACAGACTGGCCTTAAACTTGCAACAATCCTCCTGCCTCAGCTTCTGGTATGCTAGGATACAGATGTGAGCCACCATGTCCAACTTCAAGACATTTCTTTTTTCCTCTCGTCCTCTTCCTCCAAGTCAAGACCTAGTTTTAAGCCAGACTAGAAGGGTACTGGTAATGTTGTCAGTAGAAAAGGCCAAACCAGAGAGGTGGGAAATCTATGAATACTTCAAAATCAGATCAGAGGACCTTGATGTTGGATCAACAGAAATTGAAATTCATAGTTCAAACAGAAGGCTAACCATGGAGGAACAGTTCAGAGATGCCTGGGTATATGGTCAAGACTAAGGGGGACCCACAATGGAATAGTTTAGCTCAGGGTTTTGGTTAGATGAGAAGCCTGTAATGTTAGATTGGTTAAGAAATACATGGAGCTGGAGAGATGGCTCAGCTAAGACAACTGGATGCTCTTGCAGAGGACCAGGGTTCAATTCCCAGCATCCACATGGCAGCTAACAACTGTCCTTAACTCCAGTTCCAGGAGATCCAATGCCCTCTTCTGCTCTCCAAAGGCACTGCACAAAATGAGTGCACTTACATACATGCAGGCAATACACTCATATACATAAAAGAAAAATAATATTTTTTAAAAAAGAAATACTGTGGCTGGATGTGCTGGCGCATGCCTTTAGTTCCAGCCTGTGAGTTCGAGGCCAGCCTGGTTTACATAATGAGTTCTAGGCCAGCTGGGGCTACAGGGAGACCCTGTCTCAAAAGAAAAAAAAAAGAAAGAAAAAGAAATACTGCGTGAGGGGCTGGAGAGATGGCTCAGCGGTTAAGAGCACTGGCTGCTCTTACAGAGGACCAGGGTTCAGTTCTCAGCACCCACATGGCAGCTAATAATCACTCTTAACTCCAATTCCACAGGATCCAACACCCTCTTCTGGCCTCCTCGAGCACTGCACAAATAGGTGCACTTACATACATGTACTTACAACATGCATACACATAAAATAAATAAAAATTTAAAAAGAAATACTGTGTGAGAACTCAGATCAAAGGGGGTTTTGATGATATTAACAGTAGCAGAGTCTGATTCAAGATTAGACCATGCATGGTGGCACAGGCCTTTAATCCCAGCACTTGGGATGCAGAGGCAGGTGGATCTCTGTGAGTTCAAGGCTAGCCTGGTCTACATAGTGAGTTCCAGGCCAGCTAAGGCTACAAGGAGACCCTGTCTCAAAAAGACCAAAAGAAAAAAAAACGATTAGACCAGAGATATCTCAATAGTGCTAGAGGGCACAAAGGCCCAGTTGGAGCAGAGAGCCAGTGGTGGTGGGATATTAACCAGAATTAACAAGAGAACTAGATTCAAGGTTGAACCAAATAATAGATAGCCAGAGTTTCAGTTTTGAATGAGACCAAAAGGGCATTAATGGTGAAAGAGTGTGGAGGAGTTCTAGAACCAAGTAGAAATGGCCATGGAGCCAGGCGTAGTGGCACATGCATTTGATCCCAGCACTCCAGAGGCAGAGGCAGGCAGATCTCTGTGAGTCTGAAGTCAGCCTGGTCTATATAGTGAGTTCTAGCCCAGCCTGTGATGCATAGTAAGACACTGTCTCAAAAAAAGAAAAGAGGGCTGGAGAGATCGCTCAGTGGTTAAGAACACTGGTTGTTCTTGCAGAAGACCCGAGTTCAAATCCCATCACCCACATGACAGCTAACAACTGTCCATAACTCCAGTCCTAGGGGTTCTGACAGCCTCTTCTGACCTCCGCCGACATTGCACAACACAGGTGCGCTTATCTACATGCAGGCAATACATGCATACACATAAAATAAAAATAATAAATTAAAAAAAAAAGAAAAGAAATGATTATGGAATAGTTACAGACATAAGGGTCTAAGGCTTGCCAAGAGGAATTGATATTGCAAGTGTGGCTTCAAAATGAGATAAGAGAAGTAGTTATAGAAGAATATAAAGTAGAGGTCAGAGAGGCGGGCAGATCTCTGTGAGTTCAAGGCCAGCTATGGTCTAATAGTAAGTTTCGGGCCAGCTGGGGGTGCAGGGTAGACACCCTGTCTCAAAAAAAAAAAAAAGTAGAGGCCAGCATTTGAGGTAAGATCTTCTGAGAAATATAGACAGGGGACTATTTTACTGAGGTCAGGCCAGAGAAGCAGAGTATAGAAAAGGTTTAAGGTTTCAGGTTTCAGACCTGAGGAGCATTGATTGAGTCTGGATTCAGTTGTCTGGCAAAGATATACTGACAGTAGGATGAGAGTCCCAAGTTGAAGTTTAGGATGCCTTGACACTGATGGAAGGGTTTAAGAAACTGAGGTTTCAGAGTAAAGGTGGTAGTCCTGGTGGTGATAGCACTGACAGAGGTCCAGATTTCAGAGTAGACAAGCTGGACGCAGAGGTATCTGGCTGGGCTTGGTGGCGCATGCCCATAATCCCAACAACCATGTGGCTGAGGCAGGAGGACTGCCATCAGTTAGAGGCCAGCCTGGGTTACATAGAGACTGTGTCAAAAAATTCATCTGGGCTCAAGGTCACACTAGATAGATACTGGTGGAGGAAGCAATAGGAAATATCCAGGGGTGGGGAGTATAGTTCTGTGGTACAACTTTTGTCTAGTATGCACAAGGCCCTGGGTTCCATCCCCATAACCCAAAACAAACATGCCCAGATCTGAGGCCAGACCAGAGATAGTGATGGCAGAATAATTAAAAGTCTGAGCTTAAGTTTGGATCACATGGACATTCATGGTCCAACTGTTAATATAGAGGTATAGGTTGGAAATGATACCATAAGGGTGAAATAACTAATAGAGTCACAGATATAACATTAGAATTGAGAATGTTCAGAGCAAAATAGTTAATCGAAGTCCATATTCAAGTTTAGAGTCCTATCAGTAGACAATTGTTGGTGGAATATTACGGTTGGTGGAATATTACACAGATGCCCAGGTTTGAGATTTGACTACTGGTACACAGGTGGAGGAATTAACAAAGGCTCAGCCCTAAGAGGCCCTTGATGGTGAAGCAATTTAAAAAACCACAGGTTTAAAATCAGACAAAGGGCATGGACCAGTTAATGAAGGCCTGGATTTGAGCAGAAATTAAAGTGGAGTTGATGGTGGAATGATTAATTGAATTCTAGATAGTGATGTCAAACCAGAGGCACAGTGATGATGAACAAGTTAACAGAAGCCCATTTGACCAATAACATTATTTATTATTCTTTCTTATTTGCTCAGTATTTATTTTCTTTTGGGTTTGTGAGTCAAGTGTTACCAAGATGAATTTAAAGCAGAATGTCAACTCCGTCATCTCAAAAAATTCACAAGGATGAACACCCCACAAAATCATGCAAAACAATATTCATGATCAATCATCCTGAAACTAGACTCATTAAAGAACATGGACAGTGTGAAGAAAAGAAGAAAGTTAGAGAAAACTTATGTTTCCTCAAATTATCTTGCCATCTATAGACCTTGGTTGAATCTGAGCATCTATTTGGTGCTAAAAAGAGTTGACATACTTATTTGAACTTTTATCATTGGGAAGGCCCCTTTAAACACTGGCCCTTGACTGGTGTCCAGGTACCATTTGTTGTATCTTTCAGCTGTATTAAGATATAGTCATGAATATAACCACATGCTGAGTTTTGTGTCTTAGGAAATCACTGAGCCTGCAGCTGGATTAGGGATGTTGGCATACATAAATGATCTTGACCACATGACCAGTCCAGATCACTGATATCCCTATCTCATCACCATTACCTAACATCTATCTGATGGAGGAAGTACCAGTCAGAAATGCTTTCAGCTGAAAGTAACCACACTGTTAAATAATAGACTGGACAAACACGAAATTCAATTCTTCCTTCAAAGAGCTCAACAATCATGTTGGATTTTATGACTCTGGAGTGACCTTTAGGTCCCAAGATGTTAGCTACAGTTTAAACTGATGCATTTGTTGCAGAATATGGAGCTGGCAGGGAGTAGCTGCAAGAGTTCCTGACAATTCTGGCAACTTTGAAATTTCTTGGTGATTCTAACCACTGACAAGGGATTTTGGAATTTATCTCCTCAACAATATCCAAGAAATCTCTCCTTATTTGGTGACTCCCCTCCAATAGGAAACACTAGTATTTGGGCTCTGAGCTGTTCCAGGGCTGAAATTAGGGCCCTGGGTAGACATGGGAGGAGATATGGGTGGGCTCAGAGCTTTCCAACTGCCTCTACCTCACAGCATGAGCTCTTGCTCAGTTTCAGTGTCCACAGTTGCCCCCACTCCAAGAACTCAATAATTCTGCTCCCTTCTTGTGAGAAACAGCTCAGTGCACAGATAAATGTGGGGGCCTACCCACGCAGAAGCTGCCATTTTGGGGAGTTTTGCAGCCTAATATGATAAAAAAAAAAAACCTGAGGTAGAATCCAACATTCCCTACCCAATTCCTGCACTGCTGCTAGAACACACACCTCCTCATTCAGTCAAGAAAAGAGATGATCCTCACCATGGCCCAAGAAGCCCTCCAGAACTGGCCTGTCCAGTCTCATCTATCACATTCAGTCCAGCCACACTGTGTCACACACCCCACTCTCAGTACCTTTGTACTAACTTTTCTCTCTAATGAGCATGTTCTACTCCCACACTCTGACTCCTCTCTTTTCACACAGATCTTTAAAATAGTCACCCTGCCAGGAAATGTCTTCCCTGATGACATCACCAAAAAAAGCTCTCCCACCCCATTCCTGCAACTCTTTTTCCTTTGCTCCCTCTGTTTTTCTTCATACCATCCTTTAGCTATTCTATTATACACAGATGCTCCTTGATTTAGGACAGGGTTATAGTCAAATAAATCCATCTTAACTTGAAACTATCTTAAGTTGAAAATGCATTAATACACCTAACATACTCAACACTCTAGGTTAGCCTCACCTACCTTAAATGTGCTCAGAACACTGACATTAGTCTACGGGTGGGCAAACTTAGCTAATACAAAGTCTATTTTATAAGAAAGTGTTAACTAGCTCATGTAAATTATTGAACACCATATTGAAAGTGGAAAAACATGACAGGGGTATTCTTCTGCACCACTGGAAAGTCAAAAAGTTATAAAGTTGAAAAATTGTAAATCAAATTATAGAGACTGTACTTTTGTCTACTGTGTGCTTGCCTCCACTGTGATGCAAGCCCACAAGGGCAGGGATTTCTGTTAGTTGAGGCCATAGTTGCACGATGTCCACTCTTAGGACAGTTCCTCACACACAGTTGGGGCCCCCAATACCATCTGTTGAATGCATGACTACATAAAACATTGCAGCATAGCAAATACTCAGTGCTTGTTGAATGGATGAACACATTACTTCACGAATAAGTGGTCCCCACTCCACTGGAGGTTCCAGAGCTCCCTTAGTGCCTACATGTGGGAGACCTGGGAGTTGCCCCTCAACAAAACCACAGAACTTTATTTACAACACAAGACTGGGAGTGAGTTGGGGAGGGGACAGTAGGCAGTGGAAGACTGGCAGGACCCTACTTTTGCTCTCGTCTCCAGACGATGACCATGCCACTGGCGTCACTGGAGGCCAGCAGACTCTCGTCGCAGTTGAAGCTGACGTCAAGCACAGGCGCGCTGTGGCCCTGTAGCTTGTTGACAGCAGCCTTGGCTGCCCGCTCCACATCAAAGAAGTGCACGCACATGTCTTCACTGCCTGTCACTGTCCGGGTGAGAGGGAGAGGCTATCAGGAGGCTACTGGGGTGCCCCAAATGTGAAGTCTTTGGGGTTATCTGTGGTGTGAGGGCCTCACATGGCTTCAGGTGTTCAGGAGGGAACCAACCCTAAATAGAAGTTCATCTGCCTCCTTTAGTTCTGTGGGTAGTATGTGAAGTTTCAGGGCTATGTGGAGTCTGTGTCTCAGCTGTGAAGTTCCTAAGCTGTTTGGGGCTCTGTACTTAAAGCATTTAGAGCTGTGAGTTCTGGCATGAGGCTGTTAGGGCAGAAGAGATCACAAGGCCCAGGAAGTCATAGCATCAGTGCATTGTGATGTTTGAGTCCTTGGTATCTGTCCCTGCCCAGCTACCCACCCACTGCTTATCTGGTACTTACCCACACAGGCCCCCTGGCGAAAGGACATGAGGGGACAGAAGATGCTTCGCACAGGGTGTGAGCTCTGTTCAATAGGGAAACTTCTCTTCAGCTGCAGGGTCCCTTCGTTGTCCACCACCCTGAAGAGAAAGAAGGTGAGAGCATAGTCTCAGGCCCCGGAGATAACCAGTGGTGGGGCCAATCTGTATTCTGAAACCTGTACTTGAGTTATTTCAAAGGTTAGTGAAATTCCGATTTTTTTTTTTTTTGAGCAGAATCATCATTGCCTTATTATGTTGTTCAGGCTGACTCTGCACTCATGCATTCAAGTGATCCTCCTGCTTCAGCCCTTGGAATGCTGGCATTACAAGTATGTATTGTCATGGCTGTGACTTTTCCAAACAATTCTGGTCATTTCATTGTGCAGCCCAGGTTGATAACTGCATTTGGTTAACATGACAGAGATGAATGAGAAGAGTGAATTCTGTCCCAAAATTAAAAGAAAAAATAACAATGGCTGGGGGTATATCTCAGTGGTACAGTGTGTATTTAACATGCACACGGCCCTGGGTTCAATTCCCAGCACTAAATAAATAAATAAAAATAAAGAAAGGGGGCCCACAAGATGGCTAAGAGAGTAAAGGTACTTGTTGCCAGGCCTGACAGCTTGAGTTTGATTCTTGGAACCTGCATGGTAGAAAGAGAGAAGAGATTCCCACAAATTGTTTTCTGATCTCCACACATGTACACACATACATACACACATACAAATAAATAATGTAAAAACATTAAAAATAAACCGGGCATGGTGGCGCACGCCTTTAATCCCAGCACTTGGGAGGCAGAGGCAGGCAGATCTCTGTGAGTTCCAGGCCAGCCTGGTCTACATAGTGAGTTCCAGGACAGCTGGGGCTACAGGGAGACCCTGTCTCAAAAAGACAAAAAAAAAAAAACCTGTTAAAAATAAAGAAAGGGAAATAAGTTGGGCATGGTGGCACACACCTTTAATCCCAGCACTCAGGAGGCAGAGGCAGGTGGATCTCTGTGAGCTCTAGGCTAGCCTGGTTACATAGTGAGTTCCAGGCCATCCTGTGCTATAGGGAAACCCTGTCTCAAAAAGACAAAAAAAAAAAAAAAAGGAAATAAGCTGTAATGAGGTGCTGGTTATTTTTTTTTCTTTAATTGTGGTGTTGGGGGTAGAGCCTCACACATGCTAGGCAAGTGCTCTAACACCGAGCTATGTTCTCAGCCTTTGACTTATTTTGTGTCAGTTTGCTTAACTGCAAAATGGAGATAGTAACAGTGCCTACATCACAAACTGGTGTGAGGGTTCAATGTGGCAATACACATAAAGTGCTTTGAGCAGGGCCTAGCCACAGCAATCTCCATGCAGGTGCCCATTACTTTACTATTTATGGTGCTACTGACATCATAATGTGCACTGTGCACTAATGTGCACATATATCATCATACTGTGTATTATTTTTTTTGTGTGTGTGGTGCTGGGGATAGAACCCAGGACTGGGGCTGGAGAGATGGCTCAGCATTCAAGAGCACTGACTGCTCTTGCAGAGGACCCGGGTTCGATTCCCAGCACCCACAAGAGTTAACAAAGAAAGGTCTAAGAAAATAACACTGGGGCTGGAGAGATGGCTCAGCAGTTAAGAGCACTGACTGCTCACGCAGAGGACCCGGGTTCAATTCCCAGCACCCACATGGTGGCTATGAACCATCTTTAACTCCAGTTCAAGGGGAATCTGAAGCCCTCTTCTGACCTCCGTGGCATTGCACAACACGGGTGCACTCACATACATGCAGGCAACATAAAATAAAAGTAAATAAAATATTAAAAAAAAAACCAGGACTTTGTGCTACCAGACAAGAACTCTACCACTAAGCTACATCCTTAGCCCTATCTTCATATTATGAGGCCAGACCGCTGTCCTTGGTAGATAATCTGATGGAGACAGGTTCCACTCTAATGGAGGCACGCCCTCCCTGCCCAGGTGGCCCTGATAAGGAGCAAGACCTACCTGTAGAGCAGCAGCTTGTTGAGGCAGGCATTGATGAGCAGTGAGGGGTCCCGTGCCTCACGGCTAACCCAGGACCGGGCAGAGATGCTGGTCACGGGGCTGCCCTCGTGCACTACAAGCCGCTTGGCTTTGGTCAGTTTGCCTGTAGCAGTGGAAGTAAAGGTGAGGGTAAGGTTGAGTCCTGGGAGAACAAGGAGGGCACCCAGACACAGTTCTGTGGCCTGCCTACCTGTGGCCATATCGAAGAGAAAGGAAAAGACACTGCCGCGATCATCACCTGCCCAGAGCAGCCGGCCAGGGGCATCAAAGGACAGAGCAAGGACGCGGCCTGTCAGCTTGCTAGAGCCACCCTTCACTTTCTTGCCTGTGGAGATGTTCATGACATGCACATTGTGCTTGGCATTCCCCACCTGTGGGTGGAACACACATATCATCATTCTGTTTCAGTCAGTCCCTCTTGGAGTTTAATACACTGGGACTGTGGCAGGTATACTGGAAGGTGACCCAGGCATAATTCCTGCTCCATAGCTAGCCCCTCTGGCATTATGTCCACAGTAGATCATTTTCTCATAAGGCTAAAGCAGTCTCAGAGCCAAAATGCTGCCCCTCAGGTAGTCTGAAAACCACTAGACTCTCCTGGGCCTGTAATAACCTTGAACCATGGACCTCCTGGGCTGCTACCACTGAAATGAGAAAGAGCCCCAAGCACCCTCACTCATGGCCTATTGTTCCCTTGTACTTCAACCCCTACTTCCAGGCATGCCAGACTTTCCATGGCCTTCTTCTGCCCTCTGACCAGTCTGTCCTAGAGTCAGTAGGACTGCCACTTGATAGACTAGAGGATCTTTCAGTCTCATCATCCTGCTCTCTAGCAGCAGCCCCTGTATGTAGAAAACTGATGGACCCAAAAGGATCCCGAGGTCACAACCCACACTAACCTACCTCACCCCACTGGATTCTACCACAGGAACACCATCCCAGACCATGAACTGTGCTTTCTGTTCTCTGCTCTGTTTCCCTATGAGTCTGACCACAGTAGGACTGCTGTGATGGGACTCAGGGGTCTTAAACCTCATACTCTAATGCCCAATGACAGCCCTCCAGATGCAGCATGCCCGCCCATGGTGAGCAGGTATCCTGGAGCCTGACCACAGTGAGGTTGTTGTTGACAGGCTGGAAGGTGCAGCACAGCAGTTCAGCGCCATCAGGGTCAGGGATCTCCCGGATGCAGCGGCCGTCTTCAGATGCCCAGATGCGCATGGTAGCATCAAGGGATGTGGACACCAGGATGTCATTGGAGAGGGACCAGGCGAAATCAGAGACACCACGGGTGTGGCCCCGCAGCACATGAAGCACAGTGGGTGGAGCAGGCACCAGCTGGCACAGGGAGATGCTGCCATCCAGTGAGCAGCAGGCCAGGCGGTGCCGGTCATCATTGGCGAAGCGCACCCTTGGGACTGCAAATGTCACGGAGTCACTTGTGGGAGTCAACACACTCGCTGAGCACAAGGAATGGTGGCCTCAACAAAGAGCTTTCCTTGGCTGACAAAGGCGGTTGAAACCTCAGAAGTCCCTTTGCCAAAATGCTCTAAATCCTAGCAGGTACTTTAAGGATTGCATACATTGTCTGCAATACAGAAAAAGCTCCTACTGTTTTAGTGAGCACTTTACAATAATTAAATCTTGGGAGTTTGCAAAACTATTGACACACTCTGCCCTCTGAAAGGGAGTTATCATCAGCAAAGGCTTTGAATTCTTCCAAGTGACTCATGAACACAAACAACCTGCAGCAAAGGGCTCTCTTGAGTTTCTGAGACTTTTCAGTATATAAAGTACAGAGGCTTTGCAGACCACTTTGCAGAGGGCTTTTGAGTTTGCTAAAGGCTTTATGAATGGCAATTCCTCCTTCTGAGGTGTGGTGCCAGAGGCCTTGCATCCTGGAAAAGGATGCTTTGGGTAGTTGTTTAAATGAATATTTGGTCACAGGTCCCACCACCCATTCGCTCACCTGCCTCATCCACGTGCTGGTCAAAAACATGGTACATGCCTGCAAAGGCATAGTTCTCACTCAGCGATGTGTCCCCAGCCATGGCCCGACTTGCCTCTGCCACCGATGTGGGCACCACACTGCCAGGAGCCCTGGGCCCCAACAGGAAGTGGGGGATGATAGGAGGTAGGTGTGGGTGTTCAGACCATCATGTTCCAGGGTCCCTCTCCTCCTCATGAACCTCCACCCCCTGGCTGCCTCTGGTATATACCTGTCCTCATAGACTGCACGGTTCATCTGTGCCTGCAGCTGGTAGGAGCCTCGGCTGACAGAACGGTGGTGACCCCGGGCCCCCAGGGCTCGAGGATCATCCTCAAAGTCCTGCAAACAAGAGAAAGTCAGGGTTTCTTGAGAAACTGAGGCAGAAAGATCATGAGTTCAAGATCTTCCTTGGCTACATAGTGGATTTGAAGCTAGCCTGGACTCCACGGTGAGACTCTGTCTCCAAAAGAAAAGAAATTAGCCCCTGAGAACACTGAAGTCTGGAGCCTTCCAAATAAAAGCAGACCTGATCCCTTCTCACCATGTGTGGCACCTGACACCACCATCACTGTTCACTTGCACTGCTTCAGTGGTTTCTTCACTAGTGCCCTTGCACTGCTCAACACATCCTCAGTTCGTATACATCGTCCTCACAAAGAATGCTCTTTCCCCAGAAAATCATGCAAAGCACTCTCACTTCATCCAGGTGTCATTTGTTACCTCCTCAGAGGAGTCTTTCTTGTGAAACACAGCTTTCTTCTTTAGCCCACAGTAGTGTCTTTTTCATTCTTCTTTTTTGTGCTGGGAATAGAACCCCTGGCCTCATGAATACTAGGCAAGCACTCTACCACTGAACTACAACCTTATACCAAATACTGGTCCCTTTTTTCTTCCAAGTCCCTTCTTATGTTACTATCTTAGCACTCCTGACTATGCCATGGTCATTATCAACTCAATCTGGTTTGCTGTATTTATCTAATTCTCTGTGTGCATATCGTGTTTATTGCATTTGTTGATTTAGCTGCTATATCATCTTTTAGTCCTCTACAGATCCTACAAGCTGGAAGAGTGCTTTGTACATCACAGGTATTTGACAAAAGGCTTTGGTGATTATGGAAGCAGGGGAGATGCACGGTAGGTGGTGCAGCCAGGAGCTCACCTCCATTCGATCAAGGGTAGTGCGGCTGCTGCGGACAATGCTGTTGCTGTAGGCACGAGCACTGCCCGGCTCAGAGAGTGGCCCGTAGCGCTGGCCCAATAGCTGGCCCCGTAGCCTCAGGTACTGTCGACGCAGTGCTGGGGGGTGCCCTGCCTTGGCATTCTCCCGCAGCAACTGGCTGCGCCGGCGGATATACTGGGTCCGAAACTGTGGAAACGTTGGTGTGCGGTAGGCGTTGTACCTGTGGGGTCCAAGAGGCAGGGCAGACAGCAGACACAGGACAGAGCGAATAAATCAGCTCGAGGCATAGGGCAGAATAATGAGGTTTGTAGTAGTGACTGGAGTGGTAAGAGTGATCAATAGTGGTAAAGGGGGGGGGTTTCCTCCTGGTACCACAATTGGGTGATTCTGGAGTAATAGTGTGCATGGTGATTAGGTCAGTGTGGGACAACAGAAGTCAGTCTGCAGCTTTGTTGGGATCCATATGGGGTGACTTAGTCTGACAAAAGTAAGCATGGTGACAGATGTCAAATTGGCATTGCACGGCAATGAAGGTTAGGGTCCAGTAATGGTGGGGACTAGTGTCAGTGGCGATCGGGTAATAGCGAGGTAGAGATATCATGAAAAGTTGGGGGCGAGGGCAGGCAATGAAGGGCTAGGTAGTAAGTCACCAGTCTGAACTCCACTACCCGCTCCCAAAGACAGTACTATGCGCATGCCCATAGCTAACTGCATTTTCCCAGCATGCTCTTTAGACCCCTATCTGCCCAGGCCACCTCAAAGCGGGCGTGCTCCTACACCATACTACTACCTACGCATGCTCACCTCCTGCATGCTCACGCAGCCGCACCAGCACCAGCCAAGTTCTCCGCCCAGCCTCACTCATCGCCATAGCTCATGCACCACCGTAAGTTCTGCTCCCTTGAACTCCAACCCCACACCTCACCTCGCGTCCACTGCTAAGACTTGCTGCCACACGGCGGCCATTCCCCAGCTTCCTTCTACAGTGCGTCTGCCCGCGGGAGCCTGCAGGGCAAGGGCTTGGAATGTCAGTCTTCCCAGCAAAGGAAATCTAGTTCCGCCCCTTCCACCAGGTGACAGTTGTCATAGACACGGAGTCCCTCCACGCAGGTGATGTCGCGACCACTGAGTGGTCATTAGCATGCTCATCACCCCAGCCTTGTCTTTCCTAGGTAGTTCACCCTGGTGACTCACAGTAGCAATTCAGACCAGACCCCGCCCTCCCCAGTAGCCATAGTAAACACCCCCACCCCCACCCCCGCCTAGGGAGCCTTGCTTGACATTCCATACCCATCAAGACCTCCCCCACCCTCCACCTTCCTTTTTCTGGCCTTAGAGCATAGCCCAGGATCCAGGACCACCTCCGGGGCTGCCTCCGGCTCTTGAGGCCCCCGGGGCGGCCCTGAGCCCAGTGTCGTCACCCGTTCCTTCGGTCTCTCTTCTCCCTTTCTCAAGCTCCAGGCAAGATGGCTGCCTGCTACCAGAAAGAGCTGTGGAGCTCAGAGCAAATCGATAGGAACTTTTCCAGGGCGTGGGAGCCTCGCAGGCGCACTAAAGGACAGTAGTTTCCAACATAAGGACGGAAGCTCCACCCCTCCACTCATTTCCCCACGGCACTTTTTGTATGCACAAGAATAATGTACTGGGGTCACTGGAACAGGAGTGAATCTGCCACTCACTTACTAGAAGTTAGAAATATGCCTTCCTTATGAAAGTGGCTTAGGCTGTTGCTTTGTAGCACAAATTTGGCCAGAAGTGTTCTTAGACAGTGATGAGTCTCTGGACAGTTCTGCGATGAAAAGGATCCGGTGTGTGTCGCACCTACCTCTAGGAAGCTTGAGACTTGTTTTAAAAAAAAAAAAAAAAAAAAAAAAAAAAGGAAAAGCAAGCTATCCTAAAGAAGCTCAACTTAAACTGGAAACTGCATCCTAAATTACTCATTTCCATGTTATCAGGATAAACAGAATTTACAATGTTGAAATTCAAGATGTAAACCCAGCATGGTGGTAATCTTATACGAGAAGGTAGGAGGATCATGTGTTCAAATCCAGCCTTGCCTACAGACGGATTCAATTCCAGGCCAGTGAGATCTTACCTCAAAAAGCAATCAACCAATCAAAGAGACTCAAGGTATGACATCAACTGGCAATTTTGAAAACCTATTTTCACAATAAATACTAGTAAATAAAAAATGTTTTAAGGTCACCTGAAATGAGGAATAAAAATAGAACACAGGGCCAGGCACGGTGGCACACGCCTTTAGTCCCAGCACTCAGGAGGCAGAGGCAGGCAGATTGTGAGTTCAAGGACAGCCTGGTCTACAAAGCTAGTTCCAGGCCAGCTGTGGTACAGGGATGGGGCTACAGGGAGACCCTGTCTCAAAAAGACAATAATAATAATAATAAAATATTTTTAAATGTGGTGATGTTTTTCTTTCTACATTTTTACTACATTTACTTATTTGGGGGTGTGGTGCCCATGCCATGGCACACATGTGGAGTTCAGAGTATGACTTACAGGAGTCAGTCTTCTCCTTCCACAATGTGGGTTTCAGGGATCAAGGCAGTAAAGGCCTTTACCCACTGAGCCATCATGTTGTCCTCATATTTTTTTAAATTAACGTACAACATATTAGGTTTATTATGACATTTTCATCAGGCTGATCTTGAACGCAGAAAGATCCACCTGCCTCTCTTGTGAGAGCTGAGATCAAAGGCTTGTGCCATCATGCCCAGCTCAAATATAGGGTTTTGAAAAAAATATCCACCACCTCCTCCCCACCCTGCCCGGTCTTCTCCATTCCTGTTTTCCCTTGTACTCGTCCATCCTCAGTAGCCTCTTTTCCCACTTTCCTGTCAGGTGTTACGCCACTTCCCTCTGTGATCCTTTTTTAGTTTCTTTTGGGGGGATCTTTTTGAGACAGGGTCTCCCTGTAACCTCAGTTGACCTGGAACTCGCTATGTAGACCAGGCTGGCCTTGATCTCAGAGCTCCACCTGCCTCTGCCTCCCAAAGCCTGAGTGCTGGGATCAAAGGCGTGTGCTGCCACGCCCAGCTCCTTTTTAAGTTTCTTGATCTATACACATACACTCACTGTTAATTGTAAAACTTAACAAGATCCACCTGCCGGAGATATTTCAGATGCAGAAGTCATATGAATCAGAATGACCACAGCCAACTCTTGCATTTATTATTCTGCAATTTTTGATTTTTAGGGGCTGGAGAGATGACTCAGAGCTTAAAAGCACTTGCTCTTTCAGAGGACAGGAGTTCAGTTCCCAGTACCCACACTGGGTGGCTCACAACCACCTATAAATCTTTTAAAATATCTTTTCAATTTTTAAATAATTTACATGCTCTCAGGAAATTATATACTAGTTTGGAACACACTTTCAGTTTTTTGGGAGCTTAGAGAGAAAGGGGCAGATTTTGGGTGGGGGAAAGGAGAGTCGTGGGAGTATCAAGTCATGAGAAGCAGCTCCTTGGATGTTATGAGTGGCTTTGGTTACAAAGAAGCTCAAGCTGATGGGGGCCTCAGGTCACATCGACTCTAACAGGATCCAGGGCAATTTTATTGTCAGGGATAAATGAAGGTCCCGGCCAAAGAAAAATAATTATTTATTATTATTATTATTATTATTATTATTATTATTATTATTGTCTTTTTGAGACAGGGTCTCCCTGTAGCCCGAGCTGTCCTGGAACTCACTATGTAGACCAAGCTGGCCTTGAACTCACAGAGATCTGCCTGCCTCTGCCTCCCAAGTTCTGGGATTAAAGGCGTGCACCACCACGCCCGGCTAGAAAAAATAGATTTAACAGGAAAGACAACTAGACCAGAGCTTCTTAAAAAAAATATATTTGTTTTTTTTTTTTAAAGCATGCTTCACTTATTATTTATTTATTTTTGGTCTTTTTGAGACAGGGTCTCCCCGTAGCCCCAGCTGACCTGGAACTCGCCTGACCAGGCTGGCCGCGAACTCACAGAGCTCCACCTGCCTCTGCCTCCCAAGTGCTGGGATTAAAGGTGTGCGCTACCACACCTGGCCAAAAACTTTTTTTTTTAATCTTTTTGAGACAGGGTCTCCTTGTAGCCCAAGCTGTCCTGGAACTATGTAGACCAGGCTAGCTTTGAACTCACAAAGATCAGCCTGCCTCTGCCTCCCAAATGCTGGGATTAAAGACGTGCGCCACCACACCTGGCTAGCATGCTTCACTTTTTAGCTCAGCATGGTGGCTCATGCCTTTAATCCCAGCACTTGGGAGGCAGAGGCAGGCAGATCTCTGTGAGTCCGAGGCCCGTTTGCTTTCCATAGCCAGCTGCAGGCCAGCTGGGCCTATAGGGAGACTAAAAAAGACTAAATAAATAAATAAATAAATAAATAAATAAATAAATAAAATAAAGCATGCCTCTGCCTCCAATTATTTTATTTTTACTTTTGGTCTTTTTGAGACAGGGTCTCCCTGTAGCCCCAGCTGACCTGGAACTATGTAGACCAGGCTGGCCTTGAACTCACAGAGATCTGCCTGCCTCTGCCTCCCGAGTGCTGGGATTAAAGGTGTGTGCCACCACACTGGGCCCTATTTTATTATTTTTATTTTATGTGTATGAGTGTATTGCCTGCATGTATGTGAGTGCGTGCACCGTGTTGTGCAATGCCGCGGAGGTCAAAAGAGGGCTTCGGATTCCCCTGGAACCGGAGTTAAGAAAGGTTGTAGTGGCCGTGTGGGTGCTGGGAATTGAACCCGGGTCCTCTGCAAGAGCAGTCAGTGCTCTTAACTGCTGAGCCATCTCTCCAGCCCCTTATTTTTTAAACTTTTTAAAAATTTTTATGTGTATGTGTGTATTGCCTGCATGTAGGTAAGTGCACCTGTGTCATGCAAAGCCCTTGGAGGACAGAAGAGGCTGTAGGATCCCCTGGAACTGGAGATATCGACAGTTGTTAGCTGCCATGTGGGTGCTGGGATTTGAACCCAGATCTTCTGCAAGAACAGTGTTCTTTTTTTGTTTGTTTTTTGAGACAGGGTCTCCCTGTAGCCCCAGCTGTCCTGGAAATCACTATGTAGACCAGGCTGGCCTTGAACTCACAGAGATCTGCCTGCCTCTGCCTCCCCAGTGCTAGGATTAAAGACGTGCGCCACCACACCCAGCAAGAACAGTGTTCTTAACCACTGACCCATCTCTCCAGCCCCCAATTATTTTTATTTATTTTTGTCTTTTCGAGACAGGGTCTCCTTGTAGCCCCAGCTGTCCTGGAACTATGTAGACCAGGCTGGCCTTGAACTCACAGAAATCCACCTACCTCTGCCTCCCAAGTGCTGGGATTAAAAGCGTGCACCACCACACCTGCCCTATTTTTATTTTTTATGTGTATGAGTGTATGACCTACATGCATGTGAGTGTACCCATGCTGTGCAATGCCTATGGAGGTCAGAAGAGGACCTGGAACTGGAGTTATGGGTGGTTGTTAGCCACCATGTTGGTGCTGGGACTTGAACCTGGGTCCTCTGCAAGAGTAGCCAGTGCTCTTAACAGCTGAGACATCGCTCCAGCCCCCTAGGGTAGAGCTTTTTGAAGATGATGCTTATGACAATAGTAGTTCTACTAGTTAAGTGGCCACATCTCTTTCCAGATTCATCCTTTTTTGATACATTTCCTGCCTTATTTGTCCTGCAGAGTTTAGAAATGCCAAGAAAAGCACTGGGCTAGCTTGGTTTGTTTTTCATGACTACCACAGGCTGAAACCTGCCAATTTCAGGGGACAAAGGCAGCTCAGGGTGTTGTGAAGTGTGCTGAGAACCAAGGCCAGGTACTGAAACAAGAGGAGCTGGGAAGCTGAGGTGCAACTGGAGTGGAGATACTGAATTCACATTCATCACTTTTTTCATCCCCCCTCCTTTTTTTTTTTTCTATATGGGGCAAGTGAGGATTGGAACATGAAGTCAGAAGTGAAATTTCACCATTTCCTGATGGGAAGATATTTACCTCTGAAATCAAAGTTCTCAAAACCTCCAACCTTCATGGTGACAACTCTCCATGGCCTGCCTGAGTCAGAAACAACATTCTTCCAGTTGAGAAAAGCCTCCAGAGATCACTCAAATGGTCTCCCTGCAGAAACAGCAAGCCAGCTTTTTGGAAAGTATATCTTCATCCTCTCTTAGGTGCCAGGCACCAGAGATACAGCAATAACTCAGCAAAAATATATTCTGCTCTCATTAAGCTGACATTCTAATTGTCAAGAAAATAATTGCGGAAATTACTACAAATAAAATAGATTGGTTAGTATTGCCAAGTTAGGGGCAGAACTGTCATGAGGAGCCAAAGCTGGGGATACAGTTCAGTGGTAGAGTGTTTGCCTAACATGTGAGGCTCTATGTTGACTAGGGAGTAGGGGAAGGGTAGGATAGGGGGTGGATCTGCAAGAATAACCAGTGAACAAGTGCTCTTAACCCCTGAGCCATCTCTCCAGTCCTGTGGGGTTTGTTGTTGTTCGTTTTGGAAGACAGTGTCTCCCTATAGCCATAGGTGGCTTGGAACTCACTGTAGACCAGGCTAGCCTTGGTTTCATAGCCATCCACCTGCCTCTGCCTCCCAAGTACTGGGAGTAAAGGTGAGCACCACCACACCCAGCTTCTCATGCATTTTAAATACCAGTCCATCCTGGTTTTCCTGTGACTGGCCCCAGTTGTCCTGACAGCCTACATTTACTGAGCCCATATTACACTGATCTTATGTAACTGCTACAGCCTTAAAGAAGCAAGTATGACAATATATTAGTTACTTTTCTGCTGCTCTGATAAAACACTAGGACCAAGGCAGCTTATATAGAAGAATTTCTTTATTGGACTTATGGTTCCAGAGGGATAAGAGTCCATCATGGCAGGAGGCAGTTGGAGGAAAAGGCTGGGCATTCACATCTTCAAACAGGCACAGGTAGCAGAGCGAGACAAACTGGAGATGGTCAACACTGTGAACTCTCAAAGTCCACTCCCAGTGATGTGCTTCCTCCAGCAAGGCAGCACCTTCTAAACCCTCCCAAAACAGCACCACCAACTAGGGCCAAGGATTCAAATACTTGGAGCCTATGGGGGACATTCTCATCCAAACCACAACATTCCATTTAAAGTTGTAGCCCAGACTGGCCTCAAACTCATGATCCTCCTGCCTCCACCTCTTCAGTATCTCCTACTGGTGTGCATCGCCAAAACCACCACAGATAACTTAATCCCAAACACCTGAGCTCAAGTGATCATCCTGCCTCTGTATTCTCAGTAGCTGGAACTACAGCATTATACCACCACACTCAGCTGACCTTCGTTTTGAAGATGAGAAAACTGAGCCGTGGAGCACTTTACCACCCATAACCACAGATAGTATTCATTCTCAGGCAGGAAGTCAAACTAGAATTTCTTAGTCTGGGCTAAATGAACCACCAACCTGATAACCAGCAGCTAGTAGTACTGACAACAATGTTCCATCTCCCCTCTCTGTTCATCCCTGACATTAAATCCCAGATCTATTTTTACCTCTCTCTTCTGACCTCTGAAGTCCATTCTGCCTCCTGAGTGCTGGGATTAATGGCATGCACCACCATGCCTGACCTTAGTTCAGATTTTGATCAGGTACTTTTTCTTCCCCAGGCTCCTTGATTTGATCTGTCAGGAGATCCTGTCAGTCCTTCCTTCAAAATATACCAGAATCCGATTTTTCCTTCACAGGTGCCCTGCTACCACTACTGCTGGCCTGGCCTGCTACAAAAGCCCATTGCTTCTGTACTCACCTTTCCCCTTGTTTTGTCTTCAGAGGAGCCAGAGGGCTCCTCTTACCACCCAGGTCACCTAAAGCTCTACTCTCCTCAGGGCTCTTTCCTGACTCCATCTCCCTCAGAGATCTTCAGGATCTCTAACCTTACGCACTACTATTGCCCCCCTGCTATCTCTGCATCTGCCCCAATGACCTGCTTGTTCCTCACACACACCACACAAACTCCCATCTCAGGACCTTTGTGCTCACTTGCTTTTCCTTTGGTCTACAAATTCTCCCAAGATGTCAAGGCAAGACTGACAGATTTGGCTGGTAAACATACGTGCCCTTGGAGCTGCTGAGATGGCTCAGCAGTAAAAGCACTTGCAGAGGATCAGGGTTCTATTCCCAGCATCCACATGGACAACAATCTGTAACTCCAGTTCCAGATCTGTAGCCTTCCTCTGGTTGCTGCGGGCACTTAAGTGCAGGCAAATACACATAAAATAAAAATAAATGTGCCCTTATTTGATTCAGATGTTACATAGAAAGTGAAAGCAAAAATAGTCGCACATTTCAGATCATGTCCCTTGCACCAGGCAACAGAAACTAAAGGAGCCAGATGACTGCCATGGATGGCAGGACACTGTGTGGCTGAGGAGCTAGTTCATGCTGCAGCTGAGTCAGAGTCACACCTCACCAGAACCCTAGAAAGGTAGGAACATCCTTGGTGGGAGACAAGGGAGTGGGAAATAGCTTCATAGCAACTCCTCATGAACCTCCTGTGCTATGTTCCAAAGATCCCAGGGCAGAGCCAGTCCATTGCATCAGACAGCTTCCTTCCTTGCTCTTCCTAACTTCTAAGTCTCTGTTGAAAGGTCACCTCTTTAGAGTTGCCTTCTGACTGCCCTGTGCAAAATGACACATCCCATTACTATGCACCTCATATGCCGCCTTATTTTCCTTCTGAAGGCTTCCTACTCCATGTTACATAATGCTGTATCTTAACTTACTGCATGTAGACCTTACCAATACAGGAGTCCTGAAGGAAAGAGATGTGCTGTTGTCACTAGTACACACGAACACCAACATATTGATTCCATGTCATCTACTAGGCACTATTCTATGGGTTTCATTTAGTGGGCTGCCTTTATTATTGCCAACTTACAGATGAGACAAGTTTTTAAAGCAGTACTCAGCTTTAGAGGATGGAAGGTAGGACTTCTGATGCTAGGCAAAGGTAGGGCTCTTCTGCCCAAAGAAACCAGAATATGAATGTATAGTTGGGGGTGGAATTTCAGGGCTAGTACCTGGAAGATAACTTTATTAACAAATGTCAGATGTGAAATGGAAGCTAGCATTTACACAACAGAATTTCTGGAAGCCCTTGGAAGAGAAATCCTTTGACTATGGGGTTTTTGTGTATATGTGTGTCTGTGTGCACATGCATGTAAGCATGCATTATGTGCATGATTATGTGTAGGTCAGAGGTTGACATAGGGTAGCTTCCTCAATTGCTTTCCATTTTAATTTTTTAAAGACTTAGTTTCCTTTTAAAGACTATTTCATTTTATGTGTAAGGGTGTTCTGCCTGAATGTATGCATGTGTACCACATACACGTCAGGGGCCCACAGAAGCTAGAAGAGGCCATAGGGCTCTCTGGAACTGGAGTTAAAGACAGCTGTGATCTGCCACATGGGTACCGGAACAGAATGAGTTCTCTACAAGAGCAGGAAATGCTTTTAACTACTGAGTCATCTAGTCTCTCCATTTTGGGGGATGGGGTGGGTAGGGGCTTTTTTGAGACAAGGTCACCCTGTAGTCACAGCTGGCCTGGAACTTGCTATGTAGACCAGGCTTGCTTCCATCTCACATAAATTCACCTGCCTCTGCCTCCTGAGTACTGGGATCAAAGATGTGTGCCACCATGCCTGGCCACCACCTTTTTTGAGTCTCTCACTGAACCTGGGAGCACATTAAGCCAGCAAGGGCCAGGGATCCTTTTTCTGCCTTCCTGGTACAAGGACTACAGGTGTGCACTGTTATGCCCAGCATTTTATGTGGATGCTGGGCTCCAAACCCAGGTCTCACGCTTGCGCATTAAGTACTTAACAGACAGAGCCATCTTCCCAGGCCCTGGGGTGCTTTGAGGGATAAGAATGAGTTAGTGTTGGGCCCCCGGTCTGGGGTACCCAACGTCCACAGAGGGTCGCACCCCAATGACTCAGTCCCAAGACCAGGAGATGCAACAAGCAAGAGGATTTAATCGTTTGCGCAGACGGTCAGGCCAGGAGATGCAACAAGCAAGAGGATTTAATCATTTGCGCAGATGGGCTCCTGCCTCACTCGGAGGGAGAGAGAGAACAGCAGCCCCAAGCTCAGCTTACAGGCGATTTTTAAAGAGAAAAACCACAAACCACAACCGGCAGCAGTGGGAGGGGGGCCGGCAGCAACTGGCAGCAGTGGGAGGGGGGAAGTTTCGGGTGATGTCCGGCTTGTGTACGGAACATGAAAAGGTCAGCTCTTTCTCAGCAGTTAGAATTATTTTACTTCTTACTTCCTTGTTCTGAATATTCTTCTTTGGTCTGGGGGACTTGGTTTGAATCCACTTTAACCTGGGGGTCTTTAGTTTGATTCCATCATTAGAATGGCAGAAAATACCTGACAGCTATGAACTGTCCACTCCAGTGTACAGGACGAATGAACTACACCCCTAATAGTTTTAATATTCTTTGTTTTTGAGACAGGTTCTTGCTCTATAACCCAGGCTGGTCTGGAACTTATGATCCTCCTCCCTCCCTAAGCACTGAGACAAAACATAGGATTGTTATCATGAACTTTCCCCCATCACCCAGATTCAGCAACTATGAACCTATAGGATTGGGGCTAGAGAGATGGTTCAGCGGTTAAGAGCACTGGTTGCTCTTCTAAAGGACCCAGGTTCAATTCCCAGCATCCACATGGAACTCCAGTTCCAGGGGATCTGACACCTTTTGACTTCCACAGGCACTGCACGAGACTGGAACACTATTTACATACATGCAGGCAATAGTCATACACATAAAAATTTAAAAAAAAATACATTTTAAGAAGTAAATTTACAGCATTTTTTCAAACTGGACTCCATAATTATTTTACTGGCCTGGAGTCAGCTGTCTTGGTTAAAATATGGCAGTGAGTGCTTTGCACACAAAGGAATTTTCAAACTTTTCCTTACCTAGAAAAATGGGTGAACTGAATCCCAAAAAAGAAAAATATACTTACTAGGGATTTCAGCTATAAAGTTTAAAAGCCAGACTGTATTCTCTGCTCTGGCAACCATAAAAGACTTTCAGCCTGAACAAGACTCTGGATTCAATTCCC